CCTGGATTTCTCTTCAAGGCTTTCTAATTACCATCACGGATACCACTGAGAAACTGTGAGCTCTTTGGGCCAAGATACCATCCTGCAAAAGGAGATAGGATATGGTTGTATAGCTATGAAAACTTTTTAACACATGAGGGATTGCTTCTGCTGGCAACAGTCCAGAGAGGTAACACCTCCTCAATTTCTTTGCAGCAGAAATGGGTGACACCCGGAAATCCTGCAGAATGCGTTTGAAGATCACTGCTTTGAGATAGCCTCAAACTGGAAACCTCAAACTGGTAATCTTTTTCTTGCTGACACAGACAACATCAGCGATGCAGACCTTACCAAAGTTACCGACAAACAAAGGAAATGACCCAAGGTGAATTGAACCCTAAGAATCTTAAGAGTACAAATACACACTCGAATATTATTCAGCCATAAAAAAGAAGTCCTGCCATTTGCAACAACATGGATGGACCCAGAGGGTATTATGCTCAGTGACATAAGCCAGGAGGAGAAAGACAAATACTGTATGATTTCAATTATTTGTGGAATATAAAAACAAAACAAAACAAAGTGAACACATTAGCAGCAGACTTATAGGCACTGAAAAGTGACTGGTGGTTACCATGGGAGGGGGGTTAGGGGTGGGTGGGTGGGGAGGATAAGGTGATAAAGGGGCCCCAAAATTCTCAATCATAACGTAAGTTGGTCACAGGCATAGTAGTACAGCATGGAGAATAGAGTCAATGATTCTGTAACATCTTCCTAGGTTGACAGTAACTACACTAGTGGAGGTAAGAATTTAATAATATAGGTAGCTGCTGACCCACTGTGTTGTATACTTGAAACCAATATAAGATTGCATATAAATGATACTTCAGTAACAAACACTATCCCTAACTTTGTACTCTTGCCAGACAACATTAGTTACAGGAGCTTGGGTTTCATTTGATATTTTGGTGAGTTTTTAACATGTTTTCATCACATTTAAAAAACCAAATCAAGTAGCTATTACAGATACATAGGTGTTGCCATGTGAAAGACCTCTTGGTAATCCTTATCATTGTAGTCTCTTACATTATATGAGCACAAAATTGTGAGTGTCGTGTGTATGGGGGTGGAATTCTAGAAAGGGAATCTATAGTTTTGATCAGTTTCCTAAAGAAGCCTTGATTTTACAAGTGTAGGAACCAGCAAACTATATACTAAAGCCTCTTCCAGCTCTAAAATTATATACATCTTAAGGTCTAAAGCTAAATTGGTGATATTATTGGAAAATATAGTGAAAAACTGAATCCTTTGTGTATGTAATGTCCAATATTTGCCTGGAAAAAAATTCCAATTTTTATCCAGATGTTTGGAGTCACATTCAGAGTCCAGGAACTCAGCCATAAAGGTAACTTGCACATTTGTGCGACTGATGCTGGGCTCCTAATAGTCCCTGGGCCTATGTTCAGCCCAGCTGAAGACTGTCAGGGACCCACCATGGCAGGAAAGGAGAAGATGCTGTGAACAATCCATAGTTCCTGATCAATAGCTAACATGTGCCTCCTTACTTACCTAGATGAAATCACCTTGACTGTAACAACCAAAATTTCACAGGAGCTCAGTCAGATACCCACTGTTAGCTCCCCATCCAGTGCACCTCTGGGAGGTGGGGAGAGGAAGCCAGATGGAAATGTGTCTTCCCCATAAGAAGGTGTTTCATTTGTCTGAACACCTGACCAGGACAGGAAGAAGCCAGGAGAAGAGCCTAGACCCACACCCAACACCATCCCAAGGCCACATGAAAGGTTGCCCGGAGTCCTCCTGACTGCCTGGCTGCAAAATGCAAGATAACAGATGTAGAACCTGGAGTCTTCAAACACTCACTCCAAAGAGTTCTAACCACAGACTCCAGAAATAGCAGAAAGGTTGCTATTTTTTGTTCTTTTATTGCATTTTGTGAGAACCATAAGAAAAAACTTAGAACTCATGGCACTGATGTCTGAAAGGCTCAAACCCTATTAGCATGCAGTATCTTCCCTGTTTCTTCTCCACACTCCCCCGACTCCTCCCTCCTCAAGGCGCCCTGCTCTGCGTCGGGCCGCTCTCAGTATGAAGTGAATGCTTCATACTGGACCCCCTTACTTTTCCCTTTCAATAAAATTCCTTTGATCTCAAGCCAGAGGGATGGAACAGGGAATAAAATTAGTGAATAACATACACTCAGATCTTATCCTTTGTAGAACTACTCTTCGGCTTCCCAAAGAAATACTTGATTTAGGGCCAAATATTGACTTAGCATCATTTCCTGGGGCACATTTCTCCCTGCACAGCTCAATGGCACCATGGGGTGGGGTAATAAAGGGTCTGTTTACAGTATTAAATTTCTCAAGACCCGGGGTGGGGTATTTTGGACTCTTCACCACTGATCAATTTTTCAGTCTGTTGCTTTATCTACCTGACAAGAAGACTTGAACTACTGCCATTTCTAAATTGCACTTCTAAATATTGACTTAATGGCGAGACTCAGTGTCATAACACAGCTCACTGGAGCAATGAAGATTTTCCAGGCCCCATCGAGAGGTCTGAACTATGTCCTATGGGGAGTGGGGAAGGGAGAGGAGGATTTGGGAAGAAAAATAAAATCGAGTCATGTTTAGAAGAAGTGCCATTGCACTTCACTTAATCTTGCAGAGACAAATGAACATTCCCTGGGCTGTTAGCTGTGGCTGGAGGGGACCAAGTGGACGGGGGAAGGAGAGCAGCCATCACTGATCCCTCTGCCACCGACCAGTGAGAACGGAGGGCGCCAGGGCACGCGGGCTGGGCTGGGTGGCGAGGCCTCCAGAGACAGCTAATGCTTCAAGAGGTTGTATGTGGGTATCAATCAGTATAGGAGGACAGGACGGTGGCTAAGAAACAAGAGACTTCTCATCCAGTTTCTACCCAGACTTCAACACAGCCAGATCTTTAGCTAACCTTCATTTAGGTCACTGAGAAAATTCTAGGAGGCTATCTTTTTAGCTTCTTTCTTGCTGACAGTCAACACCTAAACTGATGTTAAAGGCACATTTGTCATGTCACATAATATGATGTGAACTGTAAATCGAAGGAAGCACTTGGCCTTTTCTTGCCCTCAAGGAACTGTTTTGGAGGAGCCACAAGATATTTTACATGCAAATTCATTTTGACATATTTTTTTTGAAACTCAGTGATATATAAATTCAAGTTGTTTATTATTAAGGAGTCCGTTCTGGATGAGATCAACAGTAATACTCTTTCATACAGCAGAGAGAAGTCTAAAATGTGGCAACTGCCTCCTTTCAGGATCTGTCCCCATCTTTCCATTCCATCCAGAAGGCCACTGGCAGGAGACCCCAGGTGGAGAAGGCTCATGGAAAGCTGGGGAGTGACTGTGGGAGGGGGTGCTCTTCAGGGCCCGAAAAGCTCAAGTTCCAAGACAGAAAGTTAAAGTGACCAGAGAAGCTGACCCCACGGCACTGGTGTGCTGTGCATCTTGAGGGTTCTGAGATTGGTTTGAAGGTGGTGCCTAAGGCAGCATGCCCAGCCAGTTCCCCGTCCTATGCTATGCATGGGGCCCTTGTATCTGTTGATAATGATTCTGAGAATGACCTCGAAGTGCGGCGATTACTTTGGGCTTTAGACCTCATCACATTGGGCTGCACTCAGAGCTTGGCTGGCTGACGCACAGCCTCACTGCCTTGACCTCACGTCCGACTCCATGAAAAGCTGAGTCTCTGTGTAAGATAACGAGGTCCCCTTAAGCCCTTTCCTTACCTGAAAGCTTCGCACGTCAGCTGATGTAGCTGCTATGGACAGAACCCGAGGAGTCTTCTGAAGACACTCTTAGCACTGCCCCAACTCTGATCTGCCAGCCTGTCTGTCTGTGCTTCTGCCCAGCTTTGGATTGAGGCAGCCTGCTCTGGTCTTCCTAGGCTCAACTATGGATGCCAGTCTCTGCTCTGTGGCAGGTCTGCTTTCTACGGTCTCCATATGCCAGTGTTCTATGCTCCTCCGAGAGCTGGCATAGCCTTGAGTGCCCTGATCAGCTCTCCACGTGGCCACCTCCCTCTGGGATGCTCCAAGCTCCTGCTGAAGGCCCACGTCCTCAGTGTGGGCCATCTGTGACTCAGCCTTCGCTGCGTATCCTTCTCTCCATGCTCCCCCATCTCCACCTGCCACCTTCCCCCACAACCCACTGTGCTCTCAAAATTCTGTCAGGCTGCTGCCCTCCGACCCAGGCCAATGAGACACCTCGGCTGCCTCTCCCATGTAGCCCTTCATTTCTTCTAGGCCTCTATTTTCCTCATAGCTTCTTTCACAGTGGTGATCATCAGAATGACACCATTAAGAAATAGGAAAAAAAGTGTCCACAGCCATATATATGGAAAGGTCAAATTGCCCACTTGCCTGGAGAATGAGCCCCACCCATAGGAAGACAGTGTAAATTCATTATTTTGTTATCACTGAATCCCCTCATTCTTAATAACAGATTTTCAACTGCCAAGATGAGAGTATTCTGAAGAATATGACTGTATTCACTGAGGTAAGTGATCTAATTTCTCACTGATCTACAATGTACAGAAGGAACATTAATACAAAGGGACTTCATTTAATGCACTACCAGTAAATTATAAGTGCTTTGAATCCTCTTTTCAATATTGTAGGGGAGCTCAGAATCTATTAAAATAGTATGCCAGATTCTTCTGTAAAGCAAATAAGCATCCTATGTTTTATATTTCCTGTATGTCTAAAACTTTGCAAATGAAAAGCAGTAAATTTAACTGAACCAAAGAATCAGAAAATGGCAGTGTCTGATCTGATGTCAGAGAATTGAAAATAAAAATGTTAAATACATGCCCATAAGACATATTTCTTGAATAGAGATCCCATTTTCCAACCCCTGGCTTGATCTTTAAACATGATGTCTACATCGTTTGTCCTCAGAGACTCCACGGGGTTTGATATTTGGAAGGCTGGAAGGGCCAGGATGTGAACACACTCACCTGGCCAGTAGTACATGTAGACATTCCTCTTGGCCTTGGTCAGAGTGACCCACAGAGGTTCTGATCCGTTCCACCAGAGAGGCATCAGGCTGTCTCTGTTGACACCGATGTCAAATGACTTGTTGGTGTTGGGGTCCCACATGTAGTTCCCCGTCATCTGATGGACCTCACAATAGCGGCCTACATTCACGAGAACACGCAGCTGTCAGTTTATTGCTTGGGTCTTTTATATTTTATCTTTGCTTTCTGTCTATAAAAGCCAGCCCTGCACATCTAGGAAGTACAGAATAACATAAAGATTTGCTTTTCATATTTCTATCATAGATTGTACCATAAGGCAAATAATTGAGTTAAGTCCAATAATTGATTGAGGATGAGGTCATTTTGTGTGAAGTTAACTTGCCAAGTCCGAAGCTATTTTAAGTTAAACTGAGGACATTGTGTAGAACAGAACGGTGAAAAATAAATCCAACTTTGAAAAACAAAGCAAGAAAACAACCCTCCAAATGGAGTGTTATATAGAAATGAGAGTTGCTTCTGTTGGGCACAGCTTAGTCCCAGAAGAGAAGCCAGGAGCAAAAGACACAAGCGCTTGGACTCTTCTGAAACATTAGGCTTAAATTATTTATTTTGGAACAATCTGTTACATCTTTAAAGTAAAAATAACACACACATTGGCAAGTGCATCAAAAATTGCTGCAATTTTAGTGAGCATCATTTGGCACCAGGATGAGACATGCTTTACTGAGCTTACTAACTATGCTTAATCAAAGTGGCTTTTTTTTTTGTTTTTTTTTTGTTTGTTTGCTGTTGTTCTTTTTCTTGAGCACCCCCAACACACACACACTTTATTTTTCAACAAAACATGGAGAAACCATAAAATACAATTTCAAAACTTTGGAGACACCAAATATCATAAAGGAAAAACCTTTTATTTCATCACAGAAACCCAAGCATTCCACAAATCACCCTTTGAATTTAAAGTCCAGAGATCCAAACAGAACAGTTTTTACCCAAAGCTGTGGAGTTAGTTTATTGATCCTGACTGAAGCTTTCACATGTAGATTCATAAAATTAAAAAGTAAAACAAAAACCTTGAGCAATCTCTCCAATGGTTAAGGAACTTACTAGTTTTTCTTTTTTATTCCTTCAACTTAATATCTATTAAGTGCTGCTAGAGGCTATATACTCTGATAGGTGCAGAGATTGAAATCTGCATGAACGCGGCCCCATCCATTACAAGAGCCTTGTTATGTAATACTCAACGGTATTAGAACAGGGCCGTCTTCACAAGAGACAGGCTTCCCTGGACTGGGGCTGAGAAGGGGACTAGGTTGCAGCTTTCACCGGAGAAACATGAGATTTCTCACCCACTCTGCTGCTGAGGATAATTCCTAGTATGTTCTAACTCATTAAAAGTAGGGGCATACTTCTTACTGGTTCAACTATGTTATATTTGCTTGCATATTGAAGTTTAATAATAATAAGGGTACCCCTCTCATCGAGTAAAAGTTCTTATCTATTTCACTCACTATGTTGCATCCTGTATCTAAAACATCTTTATCATCCTAATGATGCTCACTCATCCTTCCCACATGTTCCTATTCCTTGGGACTGTCTCCTTCAGGGTCTTTCTCTGCAGGTGTCCCCTAATGCCCCCTCAAGTGAAGGGGGCTGGGGGGATATCTCACTGGGAGCTGGTACAAAACCAAGGAAATCCTCTAAATGAATCACTGCAAGGGCTAGGGATATCAGACATGGGAATAACAGGGAGGGCTGTGTTTTAATTTGAACAGTTTCAAGCATTTTAGAAGAAATGCCTGAAACCCAAATATAAGCAGGGGCCTTATGGGATTCAGTTTTCACAAGGTGCTGCATTCAAGGAAGCATGAAGCAATGAAAAATAATTTAAAAAACACTTATACTTTTTACTGCATATCTCATGAACGCCACAATACCATTTGATAAAATTTCTTTTCAACATGCGTTCTTGACACTGTGGACTCCAAAGGGTGCCAATGCTCTCACCCTCCTGCTTTCTGGGTAAAAAACTGTAAGGAGCTGTTATATGGCTTGAGTGTGTGTGTGTGTGTGTGTGTGTGTGTGTGTGTGTGTGCGTGCGTGCGTGTGTGTGTGTGTGTGTGTGTGTGACAGACAGAGACACACAGGCAGAGAGAACACTTTCCCAGAGAATTCCTGCTAAACTAAATTCTCCACCTCCCATGCACATTTTCTGGAGACACCTAAAGGCCCTCACTGAGGAAAGGCAGGGTCTCCATATGCAGTTAACACACAGTTCTAGTATATTTAAATTTTTTCCAATGATGAAATCTTGTTTCCTGTGGTTACCTGGGTCCCTTGGCTTTTCTCAGAATGGATCTTCTCTTCTAGTCAGTGTGCAGGGTGTAGCATTAGCCTGCGTACTTCTTCACACACCAATCAAATCACAAGCTGTGCCCGCTGACTCCCGGGACCTTCAAAGACTAATGATGGCATTCCTCAGGCAAGCGTCTGTGAGACAAGGACCCCAAAGGTGGCTTTGGCCCCTGCTCCCATCCAGCATACTGCTTGGCCTAGGCTGGCCCAGAGGGGCTCAGCCTTGCTAAGGGGAACTCCAACCTAGAGAGGTCAACACTTGTCCAAAGGCTGGAAAGATGCACTCGCACAGAGGTGAGTGAATCGTGAATGAAGAACATCCTGGAATCAGAGGTTTGCCTTGTATGAGTTGAAGAGTTTCCAAGTGTAGAGGGGAGTCTTTCAACAGGAAGGTCACCTCTGATCCCTGTTCAGAAAAGTTTCATTCTTTCAATCGATGAACTGGGTCCTGAGTTGAAACGGGAGGGTGTACTCTTCAAAGGCTTAATCACAGATGTAGGGCCAGTGCCCAGGGGCACCCTTTGTTCTGGGAAATGCTGCCTTCCATGGAAGCCATCCGGACAACGTGAGCTCCCCTTCTCATCCTCTGCTCAAAAGTCCTCTCCCAGCTGGGCTGATCTTCCTTCCTGTGAATGTATTCAGGCTGGCAGTCTGTGCTTGTGACAGACGGAGTCGCTCTCACTCAACCTGCCGTGCTCGCCTACCCTGTCTCTCTCTTGCTCTTTCATCTGACGGCCTGGGTAAAAGTGGTGGCTGAAGGAACAGAACACAACACAACACGATGTACTGGCTTCTGCAGCCCACATGCTCTCATCTCCACGGTCCTGCCTGGCCCATCTCTATTTTTAGACATCTGCAACCCTTCTTGGTCTTTCTCTGCTTTGGGCTTTCCAGACAGAACTGTGCTGTAGTTTGATTATTTGGGCCCTTTGCTCTAAGGCTTCAGTAGAAGCTTTCCTGGCGCCAGCATGAACCACAAATCCAGGGGGTGCTCAGGCATGGTGTAAAGAAGGTCTGCTAATGAGCCTCCTTTCCTCCTCCCAGTGACAACTCTGTGGCGCTACACAATCTGTGCCAGGAGGCACAGTACTCATAGCTCTTGGTACAGAAATTTCCAGACACAATTGAAGCTTTTCCTCCCTTTCCCTCTCTTATCCCTAAGACCCAAGAGTTGATAAACTTATCAACCCAAAATGTGGCAATCAACCAGAAACTTGAAGCCCATCTGTCAAGCCCACCTCGGTTTAAGAACCACTGTATTTGCCCTGGGCAGCTGGTGGCTGCCTGGGCGAGTGGCCAGCAGGGGCTACTGCTCACCTTTGTCAGAGGGAGCTCGTGGAAGGGTCTCCATACCCAGATCTGCTGGACGAAAGGAGCAGGAAATCACCCTTTCATGGTTTTTTCCCCCAAATCGTAATCAAGTGTGTTCTGATGTAATAACTATGACCAGAAGCTTCTTAGCAAGTACCCATAATCCTTTACACCAAGCACTATGTTCTCTAACATCTCAGAAAAGGCTGGCCTTCACGTCAAATGAGATGACTGAGGATCTGTCCATTTTATCTATAACTGATGGGCATCTATAAGGTTGCTGCTACCTAGTCTTCAGTCAGTCCTAATTTTTTTCTCATTATCTTAAAATAGTAATTGTTAATTCATTTTATATTTCTTTACTTCTTTTATTCTTTTCTTCCCTTCACTCAACAGGTATTTAACAAATAATGCTTACATGCCAGGTGTATAAAGATCAAAACATGGTCCTTGTCTTTGACGTGCCCACAGCACAATAGGGGCAGGAGTGTGGCATAGTGGTTAAGGGGACAGGGCTTGGAGTCTGGCTGCACAGGTTCAAATCCAAGGTCTACTATTCACTGACTACATGACCTTGGCAAGTAGACAATAGACGTGCTGTTCTAAGACACCCCGTTTGTGTACTTTGTTATAGCAGCCTTAGCAAACACATACAGCATTTAATCCTCACAATATTGCTACAGGTAAGTCGTGGCAGCCCCACTTCACAGGTCAGGGAACTGAGGCCCAGAGAGGTGGCTTGCCAGTCTCACACCAGCTGATACAGTGGAGCCAGGATTCCACTCGGGGAGCCGGCTTCCAGAGCTCTTGCTGTGAACCACTCTGATCTACGATCCCGAGTTTGCCCGCGTATGACCTATGACCTAGCGCTGAAGACAATGCACAGCACTTCATGAGCCCTGAGAAAGGGCGCTGCTGCGGCCTGAGCTGGCGACCCCTTCAAGGGCAAGATGGCTCCACGCAGGTGCAGCTTCCGGGAGCCAGCCTGCTCCAAAGCTCTCCCCAGGGGCCGAGCAGGGGTGCGCCACAGGCTGAGTTAGGCGCAGGGGGGCCATCGCCTGAAGGCCAAGGGCCTGAACCAATCTGACAAGTATTCGCCGATCAGCTTAGTAATAAGACTAAGTTCTTGGTCACCTCCCACATATTTGGAACTGGGTGCTTTACGCTTCCTTCTTATTTAGTCTTCAACTTAGCTGAGTGATAGACAACATTTTCCTCCTGTTGTAGGAGGGAGAACTAGGTCCACACAGCTAGTAAGAGGGCAGTGCCTCATTTAAAACCAGGTCTCACTGACTCAGTACCTGTCTGGCCCACACTCCCCTCCAGCCACTCCCCTCGAGCAACTCCAGTCATGAGTTGCTTGTCTGCCCACCAGGACTTGGTCATTTTAATAGAAATTGTCTCATAATTCAGGTCAGCATCTGAGACCCTCACCAAGGCAGCCATGGGGAGGGGCACAGATCTCCAGAAATGCAGACCCATCTCTCTCTTGGAATTGACCATCAGGCATAGACATCACGGTAAATATCTAAAGGAGGGAATGCTGCCAGACCAGGGTACTAACAAAGCAGATGAGGATCTTATGTTCCCTCCTTCTGGAAAGAGTCCAGCTGTGGAAAGAGAGGCTCCCAAAAGTCTGAAATCTGGGGATCTCAAGTTAAGGGTGCATTTTAGAGACTGAACATAGATACATCACCTCAAATTGATGTGGTTCCAAGACGAAGTATATGCTCGATTCAGAGTTGGGCAGCCTGAGAATGTTATATAAGTCAGACTTTTTCACTGCTAGACTAAGGACTTTTCTGTGGGCACTTGGAAGGTCTAAAGGTTAGATTCCATGTAGATGAATGAATTCAAATAACTACTTGATGCCCAAGAGACTTGAAAAATGAATGATGCATTGCTCAAAACACCTAAATAACAAATTCAAATTTGTTCTATGGATCACCTTTGCTGGGAAATACATCTTATTTTTTTCTAAGTTGTTCAAAGACAGGATTGCTATGTTAAAGAAGTGGTTTCAAATTTAATATGCAAGATCGAGTAGAGAGAGGTTAACAGTTTGCACGTCTTTAAACGTAAGTACTGATCTATGTGCCAGACAGAGTCATGCTTAGAGTCTGAGTCACACATAGTGTAAGACCAAGATAACAAGCTTTGATTACAGTGTGAAGTGTAGGGACTGCAACAAAAAATAACCCCAAAATCTTAAATGGGAAGGTATTTTTGATTAGAGACATTCACACTCACAGTTTTGAGGTCACTGGACAAAAGAATGCACAGCTTTATTTTTCAGGAGTGTGCTAGCTTGGTGCAATTGTTTAACAACCAGAATACAAGGAAATAAAAATTATTTTCCTACCAAAGGACAAAAATGTAAGGTTTGGAGTTTTTATTTTAAACACCATTGATTTTCGGGAAGCTTATTTTTATCAAAACTCAAAGATATTTCCAGATAATTTAATCTATTCTCATCTCTGTGCAAAATTGGAAAAGAGCTCAAATTAAATGCATTTAAAATGGAATCTCTTGAGACACATTCCTATTGTTACTATTTCAAGGTACTCTAAGAATGGTAGGTATTTGGAGGGGGAAACTTCTTGTGCCCGACCTTAGTCTTCTGACATGAGAAAGTCAGCCAGTGTCTCACGCTGAAGCTCTCCTTCCTGCCCCCGCTGATGGGGCTTCTTCCCCCACCCGCTGATCTGCCCTCTTCTCCCAGAGAGATGCCAGATTGGCTGCATTCCTCACGCTACTGGGGGTGGTTCCCTTGGCATGAGGCAAGCTCCAGCCCTCTCCCATCCTGCCTGCCCCCAGGTGGTGGGAGCACCCTTTTGTACTCTCCCCTCACCCAGGACGAGAGTTCCCAGTCTGGACAGGGGGTTCCTCCAGTTCTCCAGCTGCCGCATTGTGATGAAGGCAGGAGTTGGGAGGGTAGGGGTGGTAATTATGAGGACTCATCCGTCCAAAAAATACAAAATAAAAAAAGGCACATTCAGGTCTTGGATCCAAGCCACATTCTCCAATCCAGCGTTTCAACTGGTACAGAACCTGGAATAGCCAATGGGTGATCTCCAACAACAGGGACCACACACCAAAATACTACTGGGGCAACCATTACTGCCAGGAATTGATAAAGAATGATCAAACTCAGTTGTTCAGGCGTATAAGGTAATCAGCAATGTCAACAGATCAGTCTAGGGTGAACCGACAATCTACCAAATACAAAAAACAGAAACCACCCCTTCACCCCCATTTTGGTAAGAAACAAATGGAAGAAAAGCGATTGTCAGTGTGGTGAGTTTGGTGTATCCTTGTTACACTGTGGGAGGTATGATGCCGGCCTGTCCAATCCACTACCTTGGGCCAGGTGTGGCCATAAAGAAGTGAGGCTAGTCTGCCAACTCATGGGAGAAAAAAAAAGCTTATGTCATCGCTGTAGCCCCAGCTGATCTGCTGTGATGGATGGTCTCCTGTGATCAGCATGTAAACACTGCCACTGGTACCGCGCCTCACCTGACAATCTGTGTATATGATTCTCCTTAGGTGCTCTCAGTATATGTAAAACGTGTTGAAAGATAATTTGCCTTATGCACGAAGAGTAACTCCAATGAGCAAGTCATCACTTGGCTGGGTATGAGAAGTCTCTTTTTGATGTTTTGGTAGTCTCCCACTCCAAGGAGGAGACAACATGGAACGGCTGAGTTTCTGAATCAAAAACAGAAGCATCAGGTGCTGAGAACTGGCAGAAGCTGAGGACCGAGGAAAGGCATGTAACCTAGCGCAGTGTTCTGGAGCCAGCAGACCACAGTCTGAATCATTCCGGCTGTGGAGAGTCACTTAATGGGCCTCGGTTTCCTTATCTTAAAAATGGAGATGATCATACTTTCTTGCAAGCTTAAATAATTTGGAATAGGTAAAACTTTAGCACGGTGTCTGGCACATAGTAGGCATTTGGTAAATGCACATCACCATGGAAATCCCCTTAAAAAGAGCAATGCTATCTACTAGCAAGCAGGTGTCGGTGGCTTCTAGAGAGGAATGTGGCTGGGCAGCCTATTTCTTACTTGTCAGATTGTAGTCTGACACATAGATCTGCACATCATAGTCTGACACAGACTCAGATCCTTGAAGGAAAAGAAAAGAAGCATTACCGTGTATGTGCCTTGCTCAGGAAGGTTTGCGAGAGGTGAATCCTAAACTGAGAAACAAACCACGAGCCTCGGGGCGACTGAGAAAGCACCTCCCTGCACCGGGTGCCTGGCCCGACACTGCCCTCTGCTGGCGGTCGCCGTCACCTGCACCTCCTGCAGCCTCCGCGGGGCCGCGCGCCTGGGGTGGCCTTGGTTGTTTCGCCACCTCACTCTATAAGGCACCCCAAGATTCTTAGGGCTGCTCCTGAAGGTGCTAAAAGTGCCAA